GTCTCAAAATTGGCTATATTTTATATATATATTTATTTATTTGTTTTGTAGAAAAAGAAAGAAGAGGCGAAAAAGAAGACTGCGACAACAAATGCAGAAAAGCCACCTGAGAAAGTAGAAAAAGAGAAGGGGGTGAGTTAACGGTTTAAAGACTGAAATGTTGATTAAAGAGTTTGACATTTAATTCTGTTTCTGCTGGCGTGCTCATCTTAATTTCTCTTCCCCCAGTCTGAGTCTGAAGGAGAAGAGGACGAGAAGGACAAAGACAAACTGAAGCCCAACGCAGAAAACGGAGCTGACCTGCCGAACTACAGGTGGACACAATCCCTGTCTGAAGTTGACGTGAGTGCCTTTTTCAGAATACCGCTTTGACTCATTTCCGCATCCCCAGCTTGTGTTTCTCAAGCCTCTCACAGTACGTGTTCATCTCGGTGATCAAGCAGACCGATTTTTACCCAAAAACAACCATGACGGTGACGTCACGAGACAGATCCACATCCTGTCTATTGTATCTCGACACGTCTCTTGTCTGTCTCTTAACAACATACACTTTAACAACGTCCTTCAGCTGGCCGTGCCTTTCGACGTGAAGTTCCGCATTAAGGGGCGAGACGTCGTGGTGGACATCCAGCGGCGCTCCATCAAGGTGGGCCTGAAGGGACAACCCCCCGTCATCGAAGGCGAGCTCTACAACGAGGTGAAGGTAGAAGAAAGCTCCTGGCTCATCGACGACGGCAAGGTTGTTACAGTCCACTTGGAAAAGGTAAGGACCGAGTTTATGCTGGTTTAAACGCCAACATTATGAAAGAAACCTCTACTGTTGTTTATTACCATTGATCTGCTTCTCTCCAGCAGTGACAAAGTGAATGAAAGCCTGATCCTATCATTTCCTTTCAGATTAATAAAATGGAGTGGTGGAGCAAGATCGTTACCACGGATCCAGAAATTAACACCAAGAAAGTGTGTCCAGAGAACTCGAAGGTAAAAAGGATGTTTCCTACCTCCTAAGCATCTGCAGTAACCACTTCCTGCCTCGTCCTCACTGTGTGTTCTTCCTGCTGAGCAGCTGTCAGACCTGGACGGAGAGACGCGTGGTATGGTGGAGAAGATGATGTACGACCAGAGGCAGAAGTCAATGGGCCTGCCTACGTCTGAAGAGCAGAAGAAACAAGACATTCTCAAAAAGTGAGTTTCCAGTGTTTTGCCTCGAAATAATAACGGGTGTTTCGGACATCTTTTTGGTGTTTTTTTTAATTTTTTATTGGCTAACTTTCCAAGCAGATGTTGTATTCAGGGTCAGTTCTGCAGAGACTTTATGATCTACAAAAGGTTTTATAAGAAGAGTGACTTTGAAAGCTGCCTTTCTAGTATTACCTTTTGTTGCTCAAGGCCAGGCTCACCTGCTGTAACTGCAGGTGATAAAAGATAGTGTGGCGTTTTTACCCACCGCATGCACAGACGGGACCAGAAACTAGCTGTAAACTTTCACTCTACACCCTTTGTGTTGACTCCTCACAATAGAATTCCCCTCTATGACGGTGGTACCTGGTTACTAAACAGAAACCCCTCAGACTCCAAGTTTAAGATGATCCAAGTGGGCTTTGGTGCACTTTAAAAGTATTGCTGTGGGTTTTGCATGTTGTAGTCCGTTAACTACAAACTGTGTGTATAACACTCGCCTACCATTTGTATGCCATGCTTCAAATTTCTAGATTGTTTTCAGTTCTTTTTAGTGTCTGCATGGGGATTTTTTCTTTAACCTAAAGAACGTACTACGATATGTCGTGACGGTTCAGATCGTGACACTAATTTAAGGAACAGTGTCCTCTCTCTCCACTGAGTCAGTAGTCCAACCATGACGTATCATGTCAAATATTAAACAGAGCAGTAGTTAACTCAGATAAGACCTGGTGACGCTCTCTTCACTGCAGTAAATGACCTTCTCTTCCTCCTCCTGCTGCTCTCAGACCAGAGGAGACATGCTGGTTAAAACTACCTCTAAAGATTGTTTGTAGTTTCATAAGGGTTAAACAATAATACTGAGATTGTAGCTGCTGTCAGAGTTGTTTTATCGACACAAAGTTCAAATAATAGACTGACTGGAAACCTCTCGTTTTGTCTTGTGTCTCTGCAGGTTCATGGCCCAGCACCCAGAGATGGATTTCTCTAAAGCCAAGTTCAGCTGAGACTTGCTGTGGAATCCACTTCCTGATTCATGTGCATCATATCAGAGCCGCCGTCGGGCTCCGTCCACCTCTCCATCTCTCCGTACCGGACGTGGTTTTGTTGACTTAACGTGTCTGAAGTGCGTTGTTGATGACTGAAATGCACTTGTTCTCCCCTTTGCATGTCTTCTCAATATTTAAAGATATATCTGGATTTGTTTTTTTTTTTAAATAAATGAATTTAAAATCAAAGTGTCACGCATGAGTGTTTATATTTTTACCTTTTTAGAACCAGTTCTCATTTACAGTGACGACCTGGCCGAGAGAAGGCAGGTCATTACAAGACATTAAAACATAGATACGAGTGCAATAGACATAATACACGTTTAAAACATCACAACATACAGTATATGCTAACATAAATCTATGTACGGTGTTCCAGAGAGGCAAGTTACAAAAGCAGGTGCAGAAATCAGAAACTCTGGCTTGTGATGTGTAACTAAAGGAGGTTAACCGAGTGAAGTTTGAGCATCTTTTGCAACTCGTTCTGGTCACTAGGAGGATCATTTACCACACTGTCAGCACAACCTGGTCGTTTAGTATCAAAGCAGCAGAGTGTAATAGAAAATGATTGCAAGCAGTGAAAATTTAAATGATTTGCCTTTTTCCAGGCTCACTTTTGTATTTTTTTTTTTTACTGGCTACGAATTTGGATGTTCCCAACCTTAAAGAGGTCAAGGCCAGGACTAGTGGTGTTACCATCCCTCTGAGTCAATGAACTCAGCCGTGTGATCTGTTTGGATCCCTTCCAAAGGCTGCTGGCCTACAATGAGAGAGAGCAGGTTCTCCTAGAGCTCGTCACTGAGCAGATTAATTGCATAGTACTGGAAGTCTAATAAAAACTATTTGCAGTTGACTTAAATTAGGCTTCCTGTTTACCAATGAAATGTTCAGATACGGTATAATGCACCATAAAAGAGTTTTCATTTTGAACCACAAGGGAGCAGTGTTTTCCTTAAAGTGTAAAGAGAGCGTTTGGAAGTATTAGTGTGTCAAGTGTTTGTGTAAAGTGAGTACTTCACAGTCATACTGTAGATGAACTTCATGAGGACATTAAAGGAGTTACGGTGTGTCTCTCAGCTTTAAGTAAAAAGCTTTATACAACTCTTTCCACATAATGTAGCAGTACTCCCCAACACCTATAGACACAATTTGTGGATTTTCCCCCTTTTAAGTGTGTTAGGTGAAGTAAAATGTCAGGAATTTTACTGTTATCTTTAATCAGAACTGACATGCGACCCAGAAAGAACCGTAAACACGAGATTTAAATTGGTTTTGCATGATTCTCTGTGGAGAAACTCCGTTTTACAGACCTGGTCGTTGGTGGACAATATCGTATGCATCGACTAAAACTTTATTTTGTCGAGGACAGTCCTAACAATTACACAAAGTAATGAACTCTTCTCAAAATGGTGCTTTGTGTGGATGCAGTGGCTGACCCGTCGTCTGAACCCTCTGGACAATCAGCATGCCGCCACCAATGACTGAAAGACACGGTTTCTCACTCAGACCACACTGGATATCATGCACCTCTGCTAAATGTTACTTCAGTGAAGACCAGTTTGCTTACAAGTGCTTTCTGCTTGTGCGACTGTCCACTGTTAACTGGACCGGCCTGTCAGGATGGTGAGAGGCTGTCACCATCACTGTGGTGACCGGAGGAAAACGTACATTAGCTTATGCATGGCCAGCAAGTCTTTCTAATGTGTGAAATTACTCGTGTAGTTCAAAAACACTCCTCGGACATCTGTGTCATCGGGACAATGGTGTTTTTGCAAAGGCTGACGTGTTGGGCTCCACTTTCGACTTACAATTTCAGGTGTATTACCATACAGGGCATTACACGGGGCAGATGTGACAGAAGCAAACACTGTGGGCTTTAGCTGTATTTACAGTATATATTCGAGGGCCATGAAGGGTGAATGTAAAGTGCTGTTTAAACTTAAGTCAGTGGCTCCCAACCTTTCTGGTTAGTGTTCCCACCATCTCTGGTTGTGGCCTGAAGGAGCATTTCAACCAAATTGTGATTTTTCTGAGAGTGAAAAGGTAAAATAATCCAGTTTTTCAGTTTTAATTTTCAACAAAAGTCAGAAAAAATTATATTTCTGTCTATCTCGCGCATGTTTTATTCTTCCTTATTCCTTCAGTTATCTTGTGACCCCTGATATTTATTTTGGAGGGTCCTTAAACCCAGGTTGGAGTCCAGCGATTTAAAAGGACTGCGCCATTTGTTTATTCATGTTTCAGCCATCTTACTACAAACTACATTACATAAGGGACATATTATTGCTTGAAGCTTTTGAGCTTGGGTTGTCGTTAAATGTAATTAATGAAGAAGTTTCTCTTCTCTCTGACTGTACCAAGAGTTTGCATCCATGTGTGTTCAAGGAGATTTGCAAAGCCCAGAGGGAAGAGGACAAGAGACAGATTGAGACAGATAAACGATGTGTTGCGTTAGCCTGGCAAGCTAACGGATTCAGGCCAGTATGGAGTCTCAAAATTGGCAAATTGTTGGCAAACATTTTATCAGCATACTGAAAACTTTGGAATTTTGGTGGCAAAAAGATACGAAAAGCAAAGAATCAGCCACAAATTGGGGATCATTGTAGCAGCCAAACTTCCAGTGACTCCATTTAACTGCAAGGGAGGTGAAGCCAGAGGCCTGATGGGATGGTGGATGGGTGGGGCGGCTGTGTGACTGTGCAGGGGTTGAGGGCAACGGAGGAGGCCGAGTCTGCTCAGCTGAGAGCAATGTCTCACCAAGGTACCAGAATTTTTTCATTAACGAAGACACACAGACATCAGAGGGACGGGGTAAGGGTTTTGGGGCGGACGAGGGGGCGGTCTGCAAACACACCTCCCCGCCGCTGCGCTGACTCGCTGTTCCAGACTTGACAACTTGTTTTTTGGCAGCGGCCTCTCGTAAATCAGTCGCAAGGCCCTGCACAATGTGACTCACCATCATAATCGCGATGTTTGCGGAGGCCGCTTCGCCCTTCTGTCTTCTTCCATAAGGCTGCTCGGTGGCTTATTCCTGGAAGTGGAGGAGGGATACGTGAGGGGACACCAGGACAAAGATGAGACAGTAGACTGGCATCTTCCTCATCTGTCAGATTTAGATTCACCTCAATGGATGAAAACGCAGGTCTAATTGTCGGTGTCTTCAATTCTATTGATGTACTTTTCATTTATGTCATTAATAAACTCCAATTCTGTCACTAAAACAGATGGAAAATGTAGTTTTGGTGTGTTTTACCCTACAGTACAACTCCACTAAAACTAATAACTCACAATAAGGCAACAGTGAACTAACCCAACATCTGCATCTGTCCTCCACACCTGGGTGCTAGGCACACTCTGTAAAGCGTATTTGGAACACACACTTCCAGGGGTGGAGAGGAGGCCAGTGTGCAAAGTCAAACTCCAATTGTCAATTAGTGAAGGCCAACACAGGCTGCAGGCTGGGGTGTACAGAGCAGATCAGCCATCATGGACAACAAAGGCTCCAGTGAGCTCAGGGTCCTCAGATCAACATGCGCGCAGACACACACACACACACACACACACACACACACACACACACACACACACACTCTGTAAGTGAGAGGGAAGAGATGGCTCTGGGCCCAGCAGGACCTGTTTATCGCTCCAGACTGAGCAAAGACCATCAGCAAACATCCTCCCCGTTAAGTCTGGACAACTGTTCATAAACAGGTTTGCATCAACACACATACACACAGACACACTCTCTCTCTTTTATTTTATTGTTTACTGAATGTAATAAAGTCATTCAACTTTCAAACTCCAATTCTATGAGTAATAGCTAAGATGAAAAGTACCTCAATAGCCTAGTCACTATACTATATGTGGTAGAGATTGTAGACACACCAGTGTTACATACTGGCCCAGTATGAATCACAAATACTCGCTAATATCAAAAAAATGCCAGTTACTCATTGGTCCAGTGAATCAAATATGAGAATATTATTTATATCATCTGTGGGAAAAGAGCAGTACAATGTGAGTAGTCAGACTCTTGATGGTCAGTCAAAATTAAAGATTTATTCAGGAGAGGCTGAGATGTTTTCCTTTTTATTTCACACACGTCCTCCATTCTTTCTAAAAGCCAGCAGGGGGCGACTCCTCTGGTTGCAAAAATGGAGTCTGATTGTATAGAAGTCTATGAGAAAACGACCCTACTTCTCACTTAAATTGGGTTTGTCCACGAACCAAAGGGTGAAGTCACGGTGACTACGTCCATTTCTTATATACAGTCTATGGTTAAGCCAGAGATGTGGGTGTGCTATGCTAGTACGGTAGCGGCTGATGTAGCTGCTAGCCTCAAGCAGAGATGAGAAGCGGGCTACAGAAGTCTCTTAGTTTCACGTCTTTCTAACTCCACATTCCAAGATTCTTTCAAAGTCAAACTTGTAGTCTTCAGCCCCAACCGATGCTGACTCAAGCAATATTGCTCGAGGCGATTTTTCAATCTTCTTGTAGTTCCCTCTGGAGTAAGCGGCAGGCTTCAGGTCAGTCTGTGTCAGTGATGAACTAGTGAACATAGTGAACACCATTTAAACAAGGCAGCTGCGGTATTTTGTTTAAGCTAACGGAGATAAAATCCTACATTTGTAAATGCAGTAAAGTGGAGGTTTTCAGAGATGTCGGCGTTTCATGAGGGGACCTTTGCTCCGCTGCGATCGGCCCCGCCAGCTGCAGGTCACATTGCTGCTTCATTACTGTTTGCCCGTGGCCCCGTGACCCTCCAGCATTCATTTGCACCTCGGTGAGGACCACTCCATCACTGCTTGGGGGCCGAGCCTCTGTGGGCCTGACACACACATCACACCACTGACATCATGAGTATGAGCCGGGGACGGAGCCGAATCGACCATAAAGTATTTAGACTGTATATTTTGGATGTTTTTGCCTCTGTGTGTTTCTCTCTCTTGTCAATTGCGCTCAGTACCGCAAATGCTGATTTATATTATTAATTTGATGTCTTTTTTCAATTTTTATTTTCTTCCTCTTGCGTGTATACTTTTATCATAACATGTATGTTTTTTCAAGTTTTGCAATATACTATAAAGATTTATCCGTATACATTTAAGCAAATTGAATAGTGTTAAACACAAAGTTGTTTAAACTACTACCTTCAGTCAGTGAGAATCAAAATGTAAATAAATCTCATT